TTCAGAAAGTAAATCAGCGCAGAGTTTTAGCCTTGTAGGTATATTTAGAGATGTAAGCTGGACATATGAAAATTTTTGTTGTTGTGTTAACTAACTACAGGAATATTGTTATAAAGAATAATACATTTCTGCTGAAACACTGCACAAAAATTTTATAGACAGTGATTTTGGTCTCTGACATCCCCTCTGAGTGTTACCTGGCGTGGTCCGCACCCACCCTGAACGTGCCTAGTGATGCCACGGAGAGCAAACAGGTGCAGGGGGCCTAATTATTAAACATGTTGCCACCAAGGCAGGGAGACGGAGAAAGGGTGACAAAAAGAGAAGACTGGAGTCAATGAAAACACATTTTGACATTACAGTTTTGGCCAGAACAGGCCTTATTGACTTTCAACTGATGGTACGAATTTTGTTATGAATTAATCTTATCTTTTCATATTGTTGAATTGTCTATGACACAAGGCAAAGTTTCTTTGCTTGAGTTATAAAGATTTTTTAACATTGAACACTTGATTATAAAGAAACTGGAATTGTTAATTAAGGAGTATCCCCGAGTACCTCATCTGGGCCACCCACTGAATAAGTTTTCTGACAATACGTTATTGCTCTGAAAATTCCATGAAACAGAAGCTAGCAAGTGTGTGCTCTGGTAAGTCACTTTAAACCCACGGTCAAGAAACTTGTTTTCAGAAAGTTGTCTCTCTAGCAAGTATTACCATACCCTCCTCACAGGACACTTCACGTTGAGCAGTTGAGTAAGTTTCCTGCAGAACTATGAATTAGTTTCGTACCTTATCACCCACTGCACAGGATGCCCTCATGGTGGCACAAACATGTGCCACCAGCTCCACCTTCAGGGAAGGTGTCAGCAGCCAGCCTCCAGCTGACCACCCCTTCAGGGTTTACCTCAGCTGCAGAAAGCTGTTGTGCCCAACAGCTTGCCTTTCCTAGTGTGGCCGACATCCAAAGACTGATATCAGTGTGATTATAAAGGCCCAAGGAACTCTGGTGGCACAGTGGTTAAAGGGCTTGGCTGTTAACCAAAAGGTAAGCAGTTTGAACCCACCAGCCGCTCCACAGGAGAAAGATGTGGCAGTCTGCTTCCATAAAGATTACAGCCTTGGAAACCCTATGGGGCAGTTCTACTCTGTCTCATAGGGTCACTATGAGTTGGAATTGACTTGACGTCAGTGCGTTTGGTTTTGGGTATAAAAGCCCAGCCATTTGGCCCAATGTGGGACAACTCTGACAAGCCACATCTGCTCTCCATGTGGTTGGCTGAGACTCTGTCAGGCCTGCATCATAGTTCAACCTCTCTCTCCCTCTGCCCAATCCTGCTTCGTCCCCCTTCCTTTCTGATGTTGATCCCAGTAAAGGCCCTGCATGCCAAACTCCATTTCAGTGTCTACATCCAAAGAACCCAACCTAGTTGGCTGGGTGCCACGAGTGCTCTTAGAAAGTTGGAGAAAAGATGGGCCGCTTGCCACCCAGCTGGCAATGAGGACCTTTGTCTCTTAGTCTAGAGTACGGTGCAATGGATTGCTTTTGTGTGGCCTTTTCACCATGGTATTGTAACTCTGTCCCAAGTGATTGGCTAGGACTGTGCAAATAGGGTAATTGTGGCCCATTAAGGGGATTGGTCAGTTTTGCCACCCTGCTGGGCTTGAAATGAGCCATCCCAGAGATGGGAAAAAGAAGGCCCCACCACCACCAAGGAAGAACAGCCAAGAGCAGAGCGTGTTCTTTGGACTTGGATCCCTGCACTGAGAAGCTCCTGGAACCAGGAGACCGAGAGACAGAGCTGTAACACTGAGGAAGGGAGAAGTGATGACAGAGAAATGACGGCAGAAGACTGCACAGCGGGCTTCCTGGCCCATGGAGTGAGAAAGCTGAGTGCCTTTTGGCTGAGGCCTACTGGCAGAGTAGGGTGCCTCTGGGCACTGATGTACAAAGCTAAAGAGCTTTGTAACACTTGTCCAAGCAGGCAGAGGCCAAAGGCCAGAGAGAGGCTTGCCTGCGAGCATGGCTAGGAAGAGGCTGTCCTGATGGAAGAACTGCATCCTGAGTATTCCTGAGCCTGAACTGTAACTTGTTACCTCCCTAATAAACTGCATAATAGTGAGTATTGTCTGTGAGTTCTGTGTGGCCATTGCAATGAATTATTGAATCCAGCAGAGAAGTAGAGAGTGCCATGGGGGGAACGGTTGGTGTTAGAATTGGTAAAGATGGTGGAGAAAGGAGGCATGTCTGACCTCTGCCTCATAGGAATCAGCCTTGGACTGTTGATCTTGATTCTCTTTCCTCCTTGTGAAGTTAGAGGAGGTCAGACACCGCCTCCATGCCATTTTTACAAGAGAGTTAAGGGTGATACAAAAGGTTAATGCACCTGGCTGCTAACTGAAAGGCTGGAGGCTTGAGTCCACCCTGAGGTGCCTCAGAAGAAAGGCCTGGTGATCTATGTCTGAAAAATCAGCCATTGAAAATTCTTTTTTTTTTAAAATTGTACTTTAGATGAAGGTTTACAGAACAAATAGTTTCTCATTAAACAGTTAATACACATATTGTTTTATGACAATGGTTAACAACCCCACGACATCTCAACACTGTCCCTTCTCAATCTTGGGTTCCCTATCACTAGCTTTCCTGTCCCCTCCTGCTTTCTAGTCCTTGTCCCTGGACTGTTGTGACCCATTAGTCTCGTTTTGTTTTATGGGGCTGTCTAATCTTTGGCTGAAGGGTGAACCTCAGGACTGACTTTATTACTGAGCTAAAATGGTGTCCGTGGGCCATACTCTTGGGGTTACTCCAGTCTCTGTCACGTCAGTAAGTCTGGTCTTTTTTTGTGAGTTAGAATTTTGTTCTCCATTTTTCTCCAGCTCTGTCCGGGACCCTCTGCTGTGATCCCTGTCAGAACAGTCAGTGGGGGTAGCCAGGCACCGTTTAATCGTATTGGACTCAGTCTGGTGGAGGCCGTGGTAGTTGTGGTCCATTAGTCCTCTGGACTAATCTTTCCCTTGTATCTTGTTTTCTTCATTCTCCCTTGCTCCCGAAGGGGTGAGACCAGTGAAGTATCTTAGATGGCTGCTCACAGGCTTTTAAGACCCCAGACACTACTCACCAAGGTAGAATGTAGAACATTGTCTTTATAAACTATGTTTTGCCAGTTGAACTAGATGTTCCCCGAGACCATGGTCCCCACAGCCCTCCGCCCAGAAATTCAGTCCCTCAGGGAGTTTGGATGTGTCTATGGAGCTTCCATGGCCTCTCCTTGTCCAAGTTGTGCTCAGCCATCGAAAATTCTATAGAGCACAGTTCTACTGTGACACACATGGGGTCTCCATGAGTTGAAACTGACTCAATGGCAACTTGTTTAACTGGTTTTGGTGAAGCTGAGGCTCAGAAAAATCTCCTTTTAAATTTTGTCCTGGCATTGCAGCCACGCTCAGCTGGAAAGTTTCCCTTGGTAGTCCAGAAGAGACTTCAGGCTAGTGAGAGGACTGTACACTGGCTGGCTCTCTATCCTTGAGCAAACCAAACATGTCACCAAGCCAATCTCCGAACCCAACAACCTTCAACATTTTATGAAAAGCATTTTCTGTTTATTTATTTTTCAGCTGATTGTGGGATTTTGGCTTGTTTTATTTTTATTTACTCATGTTCCTGTTTATGCATTTATTTCTGGAAGCAATTTGGCAGGAAAACTGTTTCTCTTATTGTATTTTACTCCAAGTATACGGATGAAGAAAAGGAGCTATCTTATTTTAGCGCTATATAGATGACTTACCAAGGGTTTTTTAAATGAATAAAATTAATACCATCACTAAATAGAATAGAAATTGTGACTATTGTTTAAAACACAGAACATTTTCACAAAATTCTAATCTATATTAATTGGGGTGAGGGACTGGGGCAAATAGGAATCCTAGCTCCCTGAAAATAAAGCCAAGGAAATAGCCTTCCTTAAAATGAGAGACAGTGTAGTGGCTTAATAGTGATCCCAGAAACATACGGCTAAGTCTTAATCTTTAGTATCTGTAAATGTGACCCAATTTGGAAATAGGATCTTTGAGATGTAATTAAGTATCTTGAGATGAGATCATCCCAGATTTGGAATGGGCTCTAAATCCTATGACTTATGTTCTTATAAGACAAAGGAGAGGGAGATTTGAGACAGACACAGAGGAGAAGGCAATGTGAAGACAGAGGTAGGGACTGGAACACCAAGAACTGCCAGCAGTACCACAAGCTAGGAGATAAGCACGGAACCGATTTTCCCTCAAAGCCTCCAGAAAGAGCCAACCCTGCTGACACTTGATGTTAGACTTCTGGTCTCCAGAACTGTGAGAGGATAAAGCCTATTGTTTTGAGCCACCAAGGTTGTGGGAAGCTGTGATGGCAGCCCAGGAAGGTGAATACGCAGGGTTTAGGACTTTGAGGTGTAATCACTTGTGTCATTCTTTAAATGCCCGACTGTACAAATTAAATATGCTTTCAAAAATTATATCCTGTCAAAGGCAGCATGTTCCCTTTCAAACAAGGCAACCTGTAGCTAGAAGAGGCTAGTCCTGCAGCTTCTGGCAGCTCATTAGAGCCAATGATGTAGAAAAAATTAGACACTGTGTTAGTTAAGACGCTAAAGGCAGCAAGTAACCACAAAGCTCAACTTAAACTGGCTGAATCAAAAAAGGGAATGTATTCACTCAGCTAAGATGATCAGAGGCAGAGAGATACCCGGCAAGGCTGGACTTCTAGCCCCTCACAGTTGTGACAGAATAAACTTGTGTAGCTTTAGCCACCTGTTGTTGCATGCCGTCCAGTCAATTCCGACTCAGTCGGATCGCCGGGACTTTTCTCCCACAGACCTGGTAGGTTTGAGCCTTCGACCTTGCAGTTAGCAGCCAAGCGAGCACTTAACCATTGTGCCACCAGGGCTCCTTGAAGCCACCCCATTTGTGATAATTTGTTACAGAAACAACTATAGACAGTGAGCAGCTACTTACTTGCACGGTGCCACGGGCTCCCGAGCATCTGAGCTGAGCTTTGATTCCGAGCAGGGCCAAGTATACCTTGAAGAGCCTGCGTATTAATGTAGCAGGGGTCGTCAAAGAGATCCACTCGACATGTGTGCTTCATTAATGAGGTGTCTTGTTGGCAATGTACCCCTCTCTCGTGGGCATGACCTGTAGTGAGGAGTGGTGGTCAGTGTATTACGTTTTTGCTTTTAAATAAATAAATAAAATCATGTTTGAGTCTAGAATTGAGAGGAAGCTGGAAGCCACCTTCACCCCATACAGGATTCAATGTTGACTTCTAGGTTTGACCTGTAAAAGCAAGAGAAGCTCTGGCCGTTGAGGGAAAGCACCCTGACCTTGGCCCCACCCCCTGCCGTTCAGCTGATCCGCTATGTCAACAGCAGACAGGAGACAAGCAGGAAGATGCAGAGGGACAGCCAGGGAGGGAAGGGGACCGACTGTTTTGGCAAACAGGGCAAACGGGCACACACCAGGGATCGTATCTGTCTTGTCCATCTGCAATCCCTGTTCCTAGCACATGCCTGGCACACAACAGAACATCAACCAACAGTTACTGAATGAATGGATATTCATATTCACTACCTGATGACATGACATACTTTGTACATTCCAGATGGTTCTAAGAATCTTGGGATAGGATAGTTTTGCATATCTGTTTAAACAAGCACATTTATAGTTTCGGTGATATGTGCTACAGGACCACTATGAGGCTGTATCTGGAGTAGTGACATTCCATTGCTTTACGGTAAAACATCAGTGCTTCTACTGCTTCAGTCATTCAAACTCTTTGATGTGGTCTAAGAAGGACCAGCCTCACACTGGATTTCTCATTATGGTGAACAGAGCTTTGATTCTTGTAACTCATATTATGGAAACCGAAGACGTACACCAAGTAGGAGAAGTCTTGTCAGAAGACTACAGTCTGCTTCTCCTTTACTCCTTGTCTGTTTGTCACTGTCAAATGTTACCTTGTTATCTGCCAGCCTCAGTCTTTGGGAATTCCTGAGGGAGGGGAGGGATTTCTACAGAAGGAGGGCACCACTGGGCACCCTGCTTGTTTTTTGCACTTTGCAACATAGTATACTTTCCATTTGCTTGGTTAAATGGGTTCATGAATTATATTGCCTGCTGCCATCGAGTCGATTCCAACTCATAGTGACCCTACAGAAAAGAGCAGAACTGCCCCATAGGGTTTCCAAGGAGCAGCTGGTGGATTCAAACTGCTGACCTTTTGGTCAGCAACCAAGCTCTTAACTAGACTTGCTTTCATAAACGGACAAGTGGCTAAAGAGATCACTGCAAAGAATTCAAGGATTGAAAATAATTCTTTTAATCTTAGCACAAGTTCTTCCTCAGCTGTCTTATCAGTTTATAAATAAGAATGATCTAATCACAGCTGAAGTGCTGTTGCTGTGTTGTTAGGTGCTGTCGAGTCAGTTCCGACTCATAGCAACCCTAGGTACAACAGAGAGGAACGCTGCCCGGTCCTGCGCCATCTTCATATTCGTTGCTATGTTTGAGCCTATTGTTGCAGTCACTGTGTCAATCCATGTCGTAGAGGGTCTTCTTTTTCGCTGACCCTCTACTAAGCATGATATCCTTCTCCAGGGACTGGTCCATCCTGATAACATGTCCAAAGTACGTGAGATGAAGACTCATCATCCTCACTTCTAAGCAGCATTCTTGGCTGTACTTCTTCCAAGCAAGACAAATTTGTACATTTTTCTGCCAGTCCATATTATATTCAATATTCTTTGCTAACACCATAACTCAAAGGCATCAATTCTTCTTTGGTCTTTCTTATTCATTGTCCAGCTTTCACATGCATATGAGGTGAATGAAAATACCATGGCTTGGGTCAGGCACACCTTAGTCCTCATGGTGACATCTTTGTTTTTTATCACTGTTTTTTTCAGTAAGAAAGGTTGTATCATCCGTATATCGCAGGTTGTTAATGACTCTTCCTCCAATCCTGATGCCACTTTCTTCTTCATATAGTCCAGCTTCTCAGATTAATTGCTCAGCATACAGACTGAATATGTATGGTGAAGGGATACAACCCTGAAGTACACCTTTCCTGATTTTAAACCACACAGTATCCCCTTGCTCTGTTCTAACGACTGCTTCTTGATCTATGTATGGATTCCACATGAGCACAATTACATGTTTCAGCATTCCCATCCTTTGCAATGCTATCCATAATTTGTTATGATCCACGCAGTCAAATGCCTTTGCATAGTCAATAAAACACAGGTAAACCTCTTTCTGGTATTCTCTGCTTTCAGCCAAGATCCATCTGACATCAGAAATTATATCTCTCATTCCACGTCCTCTTCTGAATCCACCCTGAATTTCTGACAGTTCCCTGTCAATTACTGCTGCAATCGTGTTTGAATTATCTTCAGCATAATTTTACTTGTGTGTGATATTAATGATACTGTTTGATAATTTCTGCATTCTGTCGGATCACCCTTCTATGGAATGGGCACAAATACGGATCTCTTCCAGTTGGGTGTCCAGGTAGCTGTGTTCTAAATTTCTTGGCACAGATGTGTGAGCACTTCCAGTGTTGCATCCATTTGTTGAAACATCTCAACTGGTATTCCGTCAACTCCTGGAGACTAGTTTTTCACCAATGCCTTCAGTGCAGCTTGGACTTCTTCCTTCAGTACCATTTGTTCTTGATCATATGCTACCTCACTGTACCAAAAAGAATGTTGACAAATTCTTTTTGGTACAGTGACTCTGTATATTCTTCCCTCTTCTTTTGATGCTTCCGGCATCAGTCAATATTTTGCCCATATATCCTTTAACATTGCAACTCAAGGTTTGAATTTTTTCTTCAGTTCTTTCAGCTTAAGAAACACTGCAGGAGGTAAAGCCAACATGGTACCCTAGACAGATGCACCAGGCTGTCCCTCTGCAGCAAAGGCCTGAAAAGCTAAGTAAAACAGATACAAATATCAATCCTGGAACCCTAAGCATCAAATGAAGACATGAAGAACTAGATCAAACACTGAATGGAAGAAGAAACTGATGGAAAACAGAGAACAAGGACAGATACAGAGTGGAAGTCCCCTGCCAACTAGCACGGCACAGGATCTCCATCTTGGAACACAGCCAGCAACGACCCCAGACAAGGGGTACAGGAAGGCAACTTCACAGAATTCCCAACATGAGACAGAGCACCTGGTAACAAGAGAAATACACTTTCCCACCCCTCACCCTTCTGGTGAGTTGAAGGAAGAACCCCTCTTTCATGGCAGCCTCCGCTGCCAGCATCCACAGTATGAGTCCCCCCTTGGGCCTACCCCGCCCCCTCCCACTGTATGACTTTTTTTTTTTTTTAACCTCTTTCTTCCTTTTCTTTCTTCCTCTCACCTAGCCCCATATACCACCTCCCTCCCTTCCTGCCAACCCCTGCCATGCTGCTGTGGCTAGAGAGCCACTGGTCCACCACTGCCCGGATCCACCCTGCCCCACCTGCTAGCTCCTGCTGTGCCACCATTTTATTTTCTTTCTCCCTCCCACCTACCTCAAACATCACATCCCCTCCCTTCCTAAGGCCCCTGGGTCTTCGACGCCTCAACTCACCAGCCCCACCCTGCCAATCATATTTTTCTCTTTTTAATTATTATTATTATTTTCTTTCTTTCTTTCTTCCCTTTCTTTCTCCTTCCCACCTAGTCCCTGTATGCCAGCTCCCACCCTTACTGCTGGCCCCCATCACACCACTGTGGCTAGAGAGCATCTAGCTTGCCGCCACCCTGGATACGCCACACCCCTACCCACCGGCTCCCGCTGCACCACCATTTTTTTTCTTTCTCCCTCCCACGTAGCCTCATATGTCACCTCCCTCCCCTCCCACTGGCCCCCAGGTCTGCCCCACCCCCACTCACTGGCCTCACCATGCCACAGTTTTTTTTCTCTTTCTTCCTTTTCTTTCCCCCTTCTACCTAGTCCTGTATGCTACCTCCCCTGCTTCCCGCCAGCCCCTGCTGCACTGTCATAGCTAGAGAGCCACTGGCACGTGGGCCCACTGCTGCCTCAGGTCTGCCCCGCTCTCACAGGCCCCTACCATGCAGCCATATGTTTTTCTTTCTCCACTTCTCCCTCCCACCTGGCCCCAGTCCTCCCTCAGCCACCTCTCTTCCCTTCCCACCAGCCCTAGAGTCCACCCCACCCCTCCTCACTGGCCCTAACTACACTGTAATTTTTTTTTCCTCTTTCTTTTTCCTCCCCTCCCGCCTAGCTACATATGCCATATCCCCTTCCCACTGTCCCCTGCCATGCCACCATTTTTTCTTTCTTCTCCTTCTTTTCTTTCTCCCTCCCACCTAGCCCCATATGCCACCTCCCCTCTTCTCACCAGCCCTTGGCTACAGTGTCCCCATTGCTCCGACCCATCACCACACTAGGTCTGCACTGCCCCTCCCCTCCAGCCACATGACCAACTGTTGAATGGTGGGAAGTGAGTCCATACCAATCCCTATCTGACACCCCCACCCATCTGGCAAGGGACTGTGAACACTTCCACGCCACTGGACCAACATGAGAAGGAAGACAACACCTGCCCAGTCCTCCCTCAGCCACCTTGCCAAACCAGTGTAGAGTGAAGCAAGCTCTCCCTTTCTGCTGCTGCCCTGCCAACCTAGACAAGGTGGTGAGAACTACTGTGCCCACAGATGAGCAAGCAGCAAAGCGTGCCCAGCCCACCCGCCCTGACATAACAAAAGAAAACAAAAAAGCAGGATGAAACAAATGAACATAAATAAAGAAAATAATACCTTAATGTCTTGGAGACAGCAGATAATATCAAAACATATAAAAAAGTAGGACAAGATGGCTCCAGCAAGTGAACAAAATAAAGAATCAGATAACCTTCTGGTAGAAGAAAAGGCAATGGAAATACCTCATACGGAACTCAAAAGACTAATATTTAGGCTCTCCAAGAGATTAGGAAAGAGATCAAGGAAAACACAGACAAAGCCAAGGAAAAAATTGACAAAAATACGGAAAATACAGACAAAACCAATGAAAACACAGAAAAAAATCAAGGAAAACACAAACAAAGCAATAGGAGAATTTAGGAAAATAATGCAAGAACAAAATGTCAAAATAAATAAACAATTAGAAATCATACAAAA